CATTCAGCTATCGAAGAAATACAACTTTTAGAAAAGTAAATGAAAAAAACCCTTCACATTCCATCAAAATTATTTTTAATAATTTTAATAAAATAAAACATTATCGATTCACATTGGATGTGAAATATGTGGACCCAAAACAAGATGCTTGTCTAAAAGAGTCTAGTGGTTTCACAATTTTTCAGAAAATATTTAAGGTTTGACCTTAGCTAATGAGTTTTTAAAACAAAATTAAAAAAAGACTTTAATAGTTTAACAAACTTTGAGAAAATATGTACACTCCTGATCAAAATCTTAAGACCAGTCAAAAAATTGCAAGAATTTGCATTTTGCACTATTGGATCTAAAGAAGTTTCTAAGTAGAGCTTCACAATATTAAAAGAAGAAATCAGCTAAAGAGAGAAAAACTTTTGAGCGGGGAATTTATTGAAAACTGCATTTACACTCAGACGTGATTTTTTTCAGCTGATCAAAAGTTTAAGACCATAGCAGGATGGTCCAAAAGAGTGATGTTACTCTCTTGGAAGAACTTCTTTGTCAGGCATTGTGAACTGCAGCATTGCCCTGTTAAAAAACCCAATCATTATCACACAGACGAGGGCCCTCAGTCATGAGGGATGCCTGCTCCAACATCTCCACATAGCCAGCTGCTGTTTGATGCCCCTGCACAACCTGACCCTCCATTGTTCCATTGAAGGAAAACGCACCCCAAATCATAATGGCGCCCCCACCGCTGTGCCGTGTAGAAAACATCTCAGGTGGGATCTCCTTGTCATACCAGTAACGTTGGAAGCCATCAGGACCATCAAGGTTAAATTTTTTCTCATCAGAGAAGACAACTTTCTTCCACCTTTCAATGTCCCATGTTCGGTGCACCTTTGCAAAGTCCAAACGGACACTTTTGTGGCGTTGAAGAAGACGTGGCCTTTGAAGAGGTTTTTTGTTTCTGAAGCCCTTCTCTCGCAGATGCCATCTGAGGGTTATTGGGCTACAGTCAGCACCAGTAATCGCCTTAATTTGGGTAGAGGATCGTCCTGTGTCTCGATGGACAGCCAATCAGATCCTGCGGCTCAGAGCTGGTGAAATTTTTTTGGGTCTACCACTCGACTTTTTTGTTCCATGACCCTCAGGATCATTTTGAAAATACAAAATGACTGTCTTACTGCGTCCAACCTCAGCAGCGATCGTACGTTGTGAGAGGCCTTGCTTATGCAGCTCAGCAATCCTACCACGTTCAAAGTCAGTGAGCTTTTTTGCTTTTGCCATCAGGAGGTCTTGACAGTGTAAAGACTTGACAGAAAATGACATGGAATCCAGATTTTTGCACAGCTTTTGGCTGTTAAAGACTATGGTCTTAAACTTTTGATCAGCTGAAAAAATAATGTTTGAGTGTAAATGCAGTTCTCAAAAAATTCCCTGCTCAAAAGTTCTTGTCTTTTGCACTGATTTTTTTTCCTTTAACATTGTGAAGCTCTACTTTTAACCTTCTTAAGATCCAATAGTGCAAAATGCTAATTCTTGCAATTTTTGTTCACTGGTCTTAAGATTTTGATCAGGAGTGTATGTATGTTTAAGCATTTTACAATGGTTTAAAAATATATTCAAATGATTTCACTTTTCGTGGAAAGAGTTAAAAGCAGCGCGACACTTTTATGAGAACGTCATAAAGATCCAGAAAAGTTCTTGGAAAACATGAACTATTGGATCTCTCACTAATTTCAGGAAGGTTGACCCAAAACCTCCTTATATCCTATTTGAAGCCATAAATGAGCTGGAATATACTCCAAGTCGTTGAATAAGATGATTATTTAGGTTCAAAATGTTGTTTTGAATTAAGGAATAAAGTTATTGAATTAGCTGAACACCAGATATTTAAGACTTTGCATCAATCAGCAGGTGATCTTTGGTAGTTTAAACT